GAGATAAACACGAGAACCTACGAGATACACTAAATTAATACGCATCTAGAACTGTGGTTCGACTTTTTCTTGATGTACGAACTTATGTCATTAATTATGGTTCTGATAGAGCGATTGGGGAGGGGGGTTCTGATAAAGTAGGTCTGTAGGAAATTATTTTCTTGCTTTATATCTGTCAGTCATATGTTGCTTCCTCTACGTGATTGGAAAATATCCGACCTGGAATGCAACATATGCAACTCTATTTCTATGCACCTCTTTATCTATGCAATTCTTTCTATATGTTAGCCATATGATGTCTCCTTTGCATGATTAAAATGATCCGACCTGGAACATAGCATATGTAAAATTCTACCTCTTAATCCTTCTATCCTAGTTAGTCATATGTTGTCCCCCCTGCGTGATTGAAAGAGATCCAACCTGGGACACAACATATGCATCATTCTCTAAATCTGACTTCCTCTTTAATAATTGTTTACTCACCTAAAGTAAGGAGTCCTTAGGGAGTTCTTGATAACCAAGGTATATCGGGATGTGGGGAACACATTTTAGTGCAACTAAAATTGAACCATTTAGAGGTTGTCTATAGATCTCACTGCTTAATTTAAGTGGACAACAATACCTGTGGTCGTCATCAACTAAATGGTATATTTGAAATTTTTTGTCGATATCCTTCGTGTTTAAGTGGACCACAATACCGGTAATTGACCAGATTTATTCATGAAGGTGAAGGTATTGATAAACAAAGTTAAGACTGTCTCACAACTTTGATCCCAAATATTTTTGTTTTTGTTAAATTTGTTCATAGTTTTCCCATATGCACAAATTTAGGGGGAGAATTAAAAAAAAATAAAAAAATAAACAAAAATTTAAAAAAAAAATCCAAAAAAATAATGTTATTTTTGTTTTATTTCTTGTTCAAAAAAATCTAAAATCCAAAAATATTTTGTTTCTGTTTTATTTTTTTTTTCAGAAAATATGAAAAATCCAAAAATATTGTGTGCTAACTTTGTTTTAAGTTTTGTGTTTATATCAAATTTTGTTTTGTCTTGAAAAGTTTCGGATGTAGATGAGACTCATGGAGATTGTATCGAGATTTTCTGTGCCAAGGCTTCATCCGTGATCATCGAAGAATTCTCATTTGAAGGAGCAATAAATGAAGATTATTCTTTCAACATTCAATCATTCAACCCCAGAATCAAGGTGAAGCTGACTTGAAGATTATGTGTCAAGTTGCATTGAAGCCTCATCAATCAATTTGTTGTTATCTTGAACCTACTGAAGTGATCCAAAAGATTAGTTCTCTCTGATATTTTCTCTCTAAAGATTCTCAAGCTGAAAGCGCTATATTTCAAGAATCTTTTCAAGAAGCCTCCTCATCCAATGTGCGTTTAGATTCAAATTTTGAAGAAAATGCCAACTACTCAAGATGAATTCATTCGTTGAAGATTCATCAAGTTTATCTTGAAGTTGTGAAGAATTTGAAGATTAATGTTGAAGCCAAGCTCCCGATGAAGATTGACAAGAAAGGCCAGCTACCTTTTTAGGAGAAGATTGTTGGGTCAATTATAAAAGAAAGCTATAAACCAAGGGGGAGATTGTTGGGTCTAAAATATTGGTTTATACTTTGCTTTTCTAGACAACTGTATTTTTCTGTAGTGTAATATGTGTTTGTGGTTGTGTTCATGGCCAGGTTGGTGTGTACGTCGTAAACCCGTGTACGGCCCATGTTTCCTATAAATATAGGTGTAAGGGTGAGGAGTGGTAGATAAGTGTACGGTCTAGAGGTGAGATAGAGGGGATAGCATATTGTAGAGAGAGAAAGTTAGATAGAAGAAGAGTGTGTGTGAGAGAATCCTATGTGTATGGAGCATCATTCTATTCATTGAATACATCATAGATTCACTTATTCTTCTTCTCATTCTCTTCTATTTTGATCTGGCATCATCCAATTGAATGGTATTTCACACCATCAATTGGATCTGATTGATATACAAGCATATTTGGGACTTACATTCTGAGTTGATGAACATCTGCTTCGTCTACAATATTCATAACATACCTATGAACTGGGTGTTGAAATGACAATGATATATTACTATTGAACGTATTAGCCTTATTTTTAACCAAATGAAACAATATTTGACAGGTCAAAATTTGGCGGAAGTAGTAAACCTAAGTTGTTAAAATTTGGTCTAACATAGGTGTTAATACCACCACTCAACTGCCAAAACTCTCACGTACATAAAATAACAAAACTCATATTTTCTCTGAAAAAAAAATACCCTAAAACTGATCGTTTTTTTAATAGAACAAAAAAATTCTTTTAAATGACAAAAAACCGTAACAAAAGACCAAAAAACACATTCTGCGGAGACCTCGTCAACATGCTACACGGAGGCTTTAATAATATGCTGAACCAAACACTCCGCGGAGGATTTAATGTGTTTGCGGAGGTTCGTACAAAATGTATGAAAACCGTAAAAAAATTGATCATTCTGCGGTGATTTTATGATTTCACGGAGCCCGTAAAGCACTCACCCGTGGAATGCATGTTTATACCCATATATATATATATATATATATATATATATATATATATATATATATATATATATATATATATATATATATATATATATATATATATATATATATATATATATATATATATATTTTGTAAATAAATTTTGAGAACCCCTCCCCACAATGTCTATAGCCTATATTTTTCCTTTTTATTTTATCTTCTATTTTTGATTTTGTATAAAATTTAACCTAAATGGTAAATATTTTTAAAACCACATCATTTTGGTAAATATATTTCTAAAATACAGTCCTCTGTTAAATAAAACTCTAGATTTGACATGGAAAAAAACACATCGTCATTTTATAGAATTTTATTGTTTAAGATATTAAATACAAAAATTTAAATTTACTAGCGACTAAAAAGAAACATTGTTTGATGAGTAAAGGCTTAGAATGTTGTTAATAGAGTTTCATGGTTTGATTTGCATTTGAAGTTATGGTCTTCAATTGATTTGATTCTTCAATTTTTCTTTATGGTATCAATTTTCTTTTCCTGCAAGGATTAAATTCGATGAAGAGACAGTGGGTTGTGATGTTGATTCGTCGGAGTTGAATGACCGAAAAAAAAAGGGGATGGTGAAGACGTCGATGTCACTAAAGATGGAAATGAAATATAAGTTGAGGAGGATGAGAGATGGGATGATCACTGATGGGACCTATATTAAATTTCTCAAATGTGGTTTCAGGTTTAGGGTGAGGAGACACAAATATGTGGGATTTATTAAATTTTTAAATACATAAAAAATAAATAGATAAACAAGAAAATTAATTAAAAATAAGTTAATAAGAGCACAATAGTCTTTTTAGGTAAGATATGGACCAAACACGTAACAAAAATAAATAGTAGAAACCATTCGAGTTAAAAAAATAAGTTAGAGACCAAATACGTAAATTACCCCAAACCAAGGGATCATTCATGTAATTTACTCTTGCTTTTTCGGTTTGTTCACATCTAGGTAATTTTTTTGTACACATTTAAGTAAAGAACTTTTTGGAAGTGTTCACATATAACCATTATGACCAGACGTAACTTGTTATAACCGATCATATGTGAACACTTCCAAAAAAATTCGTTACCTAGATGTGTACAAAAAATAAATAATTAATCAAATGTGAAATTTTTGAAAAGTTAATTACATTAATAAGTCTATTTCCCTTATTTTTAAAACTCAAAAGTATTTTTTAGACAAAATAACTTATTGAGGGTGAGATTTATATTCTTTATCTTTACAATTTGAAATACAACCAAGTAATTGAAATGGATGATGAAGACATTTTCAAATTGTAAATATAAGACCAAAAGGAACGGTTACAATCTTCTCTATGATTTACTACGGTGACAGTTGAGAACACCACCCCCACTATGTGTTCTCCACTACGGTTTGGCCATATGCAATTAAATTTGGCCGCATCTCTCTTCTCTCTCCTCACTTTCTTCTCCTACCACATCTCCTCTATCTCTTTCTTCTTCATTTCTTCTCCACCACACCCACCCCCATGGTTTTACCACACTCAAAGCCTATGTGGAATTGAGATGCAATGTTTTGTCATGGTAAAATCATGACAACACTCCCTCGAACCTTAGGTATATAAGTGTTTGATATTTGTTTTGTGGTTTGAATGTGAAGTATAAATATTTATTTATAATAGATTTTTTTTTTTGAAGAATATCCGTTTAGAAATTCCCACAAGCAAATGGTCCAAAAAAGGGTGTGCAACATACTCTTGTGCGGTGACCTTACTGCAGTACCACAATACCAATATGACACATCATCCACTATGGTGTGCAGTTCCTACCACTTCTACCAGCCTTAAAAAATTCATCCATCATAGTCCCCAACTCATACTTTAACACCTAATATCCCAAGATGTAAATCATTTAATTAATTATTTGAATTATTTCCCAGTAGTGTGCACCTCAGGTCTAATCAGTGAGGTTTTCTAACGACTTTAATGAAAGAGAGGGAATGACAATGCCGTAAAACCGAATTCAAAACACATATCAGTTGAATTTAGATTTATTATAGTTTTCAAAACTGATTTATGAATATTGCAAGTATTATCATTTTTAGTCCAATGGCAAAGCTGGTCAGAATTTGCAATGCCATATAGGCTCCATGTAACCAGAGCAATGGCGAAATGGAGAGTAGGGGTCACAGGGTGAAGGAAAAAAAAAAGTTAAATGGTGTCGTTTTGTAATTTAGAGACAGATAGAGGGGCAAAAAAAAACTTTTTTCTGATTTATTTATAGGCTTTATCTATAATTTACTCATTTAAGACAAAAAAGGAAAAAACCTAATAAGCTACTAATATAGGTAGTAGTGGTGATTTTTTTTATATAATAAAGTTAATTGCTATAATAAGTTAGGAAAAAAATTGAATGATATTTTTTAACAAAACGAAAAAGATTGCTACTCTCTTTATGTCATTCTTCAAGTTTTAATTATACGAATGTTTTTTCTAAACAATTTAAGCTAAAAGGGTCAAATTTTACATTATTCATTTTCTCAACTAACTTTTTTGGAAACCATTTAACTAACACAACAAAATACAACCATTTATCCAAGTACATTCAATCCTTATAGGTCTCCAGTCTCTCAACCCCATCACCCCTACCTATCGTACAACTTTTCAAGCACAAAATACAACATTTCATTCTTCCATTTCCAAATGGGTTTTTTTTTTCTTATCTAACTTTTTTTTTTTTCTGTATCGTTTTATTCACCATCTGTCAGAATTCTACATACACTCTTGTATTTCTGTGTTTCTTATCTTCAGCAAAATTTGAAAGTTCCTTCACCTATAAGCAAAAAAGAGCACATAACGAAATGGTGAAAATGATACAAATTTGGCAAATATTTGCTTAATATAAAAAAAAAAAAAAGGCCTAAATTACTTGTGGTTTTACATTATGTACAGATCAAGAGGGAAAGTCAGCAGCATGATTCAGTTTTCTGTGAACTTTTTGGCTTTATCCGAGAACTGCCTAATCAACTTGTCATCAGCGAAAGTTAAAGGAAGCTGCTCATCATCAGACACCTCTTCCCAATTTTCAGCACTTTCCTGATTTGTAATTGTAGTGTTGTTTGTGTTTTTTTTATTTGCTTCTTTTGGTATATTGCGATACAAGTGGTTCAATATGAACAGTGCAGTATCCGGGTCCCTCCAGTATTTTCTGCAACAAATACCAATTTATTTCCTTTGAAGAATCTCATACCAATTTATATTATTATTATTATTGGTAATTTGGTATGACAGATGGATGACTTACGTATGAGCCCCTACAGCTGATATGTATTGATGCTCAAATGTTTTATTCTGCATTCTCATATTTTTAAATAAAATATATAATAAACAAATAAATGGAAGTACATTGCCATTTAACCCAAAAAGAAAATAATACATACTTGAAGAACATGATCAATTCTCCCATCTTCACTCCCTGTTATCCTCTCCATCATTATCGCACCATATGGTCTCCCTCTTTCTTCAGCTTCCTCTGATGTTTCTGTTAACACCCCCAAAAAAATACATAAAATTAATTAATGACATAATGTAAAAATCAAAAATAGTTAAAAATTACCTTCTTGCCCATCACTGTCCCTTGATTGACATGCTGTCAGTACTTTAACCTACAAACATTAATCCACTTTAGAGAAAACAAACAAAAACTGGGACAGGGCTCTTGATCTCTTTTATATGCGTAAAAGGACTAAAATGCCCTTGTGATCCTAATCATAGAAAATAGCCCAAGAGAGAGATTGTAACTAACCCTTAAGTGGCTAATGTTGTCAGCCACAGCCTGAGAGCGTAATGCAACTTGTTCTACAAATTCCTGCGGTGTAATTTATCAGGATTTTTACAAATAACGCTAAAATGCACTTGCACATGTGGTACAGGTGTCAGTCTAACATGCACCTATACCTGGTAGCCAACATGCAGCCTTTTTCCACCTCTGTGATAAGGAATAATGACTGGATGCCTATCAATATGCTCTTTACATACAAGTGGTTCTATTCTGAACAGAAACATAAGTTTATTTCATGTTAACAGAATAATTCTAAAAATAGAAATATATAAGGAAAGGGGTTTGAGATATTTATGAATACCTGTATGCCACTGGATCATAAGGATGAAAAATGTTGAACATCTGGCGACAAGATGGCATTTCTTCATTTATGGTTTCATCTTCCCAGTAATCTTTTCCTCTACCTGAAAAAAAAAAACAAATGAAAATTTTATATTGTTATATTCTAATTTACTTAACATTAATTTATATAAATCATTAAGGAAATGAGACAAAAATTACCAACTCCAATACGTATATTTCGCAAGGCAAGAAATACACCAAGAGGTGACCCCACTGCAAAGAATGTATCAACCTGACATTGTACTTTCCATTATTTTCTTATCTTTATTTATTTATTTCTTATGCTATAATGAACAAATATATGAAACTAAATTCATATTTCTTGCATTTAACACAAAAGCAAAATACATCATAATGTTACCTTGAACAGCAACTTGGTGTACTTTATATAAGGTCTATAACTTTTCATTGTTTCATTTTTCAAAGATTGAGAACTCTTGGAGCCACTTTCATTTGTCATACTTAAAGCTTCCTGCTTATTTTCTGTTTAAAAATACAACTCATATCAAATCAATACAACATGATACTGCTAAAAAGTAAAAACCAATACAATTGAAACCTATGAAACCATACCTTTGACACTCTGTGATTCTAATTCTTTAATTCTGGCATTCAACATATCAATCTGCAAGAGTAAAAACACAAATAATTAGGATAAAAGTAAAAACAAAGAATCATTTAAGGGATGGTTTTAAACTTCAGGAATCAGGACCTCTTCCTTCAATGATCTGATTACTACATCTTCATCATTTTTGTTAACTTCCTCATCAATTTGATTTGTTATGGTTTCACTATTGCTGCCTGTGGATTCATTCAAATCATCATTCTTCTCAGACTCTTGAGCATGTGTTTCAGGGAGTATAGCTTCTGTGTCAGCACTTGGAGGAATTACCAAAACACCCTCGTCATTTCTGGATTCATCCAAATCATGTGTTTCAGGGAGCATAGCTTCTGTGTCAACACTTGCAGGAGGAATTACCAAAACACCCTCGTTGTTTGTAGTTAAATCCTCGTTCCCTGAACTCAAAGATGAATTTCCCTCGGGAGAAATTTCATGGGTATTATGGTCATTATACAGCCATTCCATTGGAAACGGAGATGAAAGTTTCTCTTGGTGACAAAGTATGTCATAAGAGAGAACACTTCCTAATGAATGACCATATAAAGAAACCTACACAAAAATAAAATAAAACATAAGAATAAAATATTTAATTATTTATCACATGCCATGTACCTTACCTTTCCATCATAACCAGGATTCCTCTTAAGAAACTTCACATACAACCTGTTCAATTGGTTGGAAACCTGCACCATTTTACAAAAATTAATACTACAAAAACAATTTTTTTTTAATTCTACAAGAATATACCGAGTCAATGATATCTTGGCAATAAATTGGGCTCATGTAATACAACACATCATGAACAGTTGCACTCAATGTCACCCTTAATCCACGTACACCAGGTAATGTACATCTTTCTACAGCAGATTCACCACTCAGCTTTAAATCCTTCCTCCACTGTTGGGTCATAAAAAATTAACCGATTTTCCAGATACAAAAAAAGAAGTTTATTATATTATTATTATTATTATTACCTGACATGGAATAAAAAGAACTCTTTGGGATTCACGCTGATAATTTGTTAGGTGTAAATCAGCAAGACTTTCTGTAACTTGGCGATAAGTGCCAACATCATCAACCAAATTTGCTTTCTGTAAACTTTGACCAATGCCATGAACCATGAATACCAAATGACGAACTGGGACCTGTATCAATTTAAATAAAAAAATATATATATATATATAAATAATATATATTCATGTATAAGATATATCATGTATCAGATATACCTGTGAGCAATAATCATCCCTTTCTTCCTCTTTCTTCTGGCGTAACTCATCCTATCAACACAAGTTATCAACTATGATATAAAAGTTTCAGTTTAAATAGCAATGTAATTTCCTTGATTTGTTTATTATAGCATCTTATTTTCGTTTATTAAACCATAAATGGAACTCATAACAGCATAAACAAATGAATAAACATCAGAATGCACATGTAAGTAAAACAAGTCACATAGAAAATAACGAATAATGGACATATTATTTCAAAATATGATTCAAATGATCGATTATTCATTGATGTAAAAAAACTTGCTGAAAAATAATACCTGGGTTGGCTTTGCTGATTGTGATCGAGCATACCCACGTCTTAACTTAAGTCCAGTTACTCCAAAACTAACCATGCTACCAAATCCGGATAAGCCAATATATAGCCAAGCCTCCCATGTATCATCTTCTCCAGTAAAAAGAGCATGCAGCCCCTGTAAAAATTAAGTAAAAAGCTCAGTGATTATATAAAAAAGATATCAATAGTTATAAGTCCTATGTAACAATTTAGCATAAAGCAATGTCATACTGGGGTAGACCCTTGCATATCAACCCGGGCTGCAAATAATCCAGATGGTTGAAATGTTCTTCGGTGCCAAACCTAAAAAAAAGGCGTGGTGTTTTGTTTCACTTTAAATAATGTCAACTTGAAGTGATAAAAAGAAAAGAGTTAAATCAAGTGCACTTAGAAATAATGAAATTAGAGATCTTTTAACAAATACCTTGCCACGATAAGCAAACTCCAACTGTTCAGCAACATCTTCACGAAGTGGAAGCCAATCAAGACTCCCTTTACGAGCAAACCAATGGCCTCTTAGAACACGCCGATTGTCTCCATTCCAATAAACAGGAAAGCTATGTCTTCTTAATAAGTCTACCTACAGTAATAACATACAACAAGGAAGTAAAGAAACCATGTAAATGTGTAATCTTTGTACTAAAGGGCTGATATGATATACTAACAATGTCAAGAAATACACCTCATACAAGCCTCCTTTCACAGGGACACCAACTCTCTCTTCTTCATCTGTGTATAGTTTGCTTGATTGACCGGAGGGTAGATCGTATGATTGTGGATCTGATTCGGGAATGGATGAAAGTGACCCTTTTGGACCCTACACTACATTCACCATACTCTTTCCACCAATTTGAGAGCAACTCCTCTTCTCTCTGTATATGTGGTATCAGCATCAGTAAATGTCATCAAAGCAATAGTTAAACCTCAAGAACAACAATGGAAGCAAATGGTATAACCTGCAAGAATGATGCCTCTATTGCAAGAGAATCTCTCATACCAAATCGAAAATAATCACCTTTCCCTACTACTTCCGTAATTGGGACAGCAGCAGCTAGCTCTGTATATGAGCAATGGCAGCAACATTGAATCAGTATTTGAATAAACAAATATGAACAGGAATTTAGTGAGATCAATGGCGAATTCACTATCCACGTCTCAGGCTTTAGACCAATTTACTCCCCTAAAAGAGATACTAAAATTCGCATAACATTAGAACTCACCAGTTTCCGCCATTGGCACCTTTGAAAAGTACCATCTAACATCACCCCCATCCGACGGGCTTCCAGTCTGTGCAAGATACTTCTGCCGCCCCTCACACTGCTGTATCTCATCAGCTAACCTCCTTATATTCGACGACGTATTCCGTAACATCTCAGCAAAAGTTTTCGCGTCTTCATACTTCCCACTGCTTTCCGCCATCGGAGCTGGCTTAACGCAGATGTAGACTTCGTTTCGGCAATTTGTCAAACTGGTGATGTGCAATACCACCAAACATTACTGTTCTAACAAATTCTCGCACCAATGCCAAATGAATTAAGATTCTAGTATACGCAATTACTTTATCTGTTGCTCGATCAGAAACTGTGAACTTGAAATTGATACAGCTGCTAATCACCCGAGTAAGGTTTTGAAACAAATCACTAATCACTAACACGGATCCTGCGTTCCAAGATTTGTATCAAAGATTATGTTAATTTCTACTTGAAACCCTAAATTGATGATCTCAAGAGTTGTTTATCTGGTAAAATTGCATAGATTAATGAAAATGGAAGGCAAGAACTGTAGAATATTTTATGAGGAAAGTCTAGCATATTCGCAAACCGTCAAGGAAAATTTAAAATATTCAGAGAGAGTTTATAGAGGTCAATAGGTAAATGCATTTATCTGATTTTTTTTTTTTGTATTTTTTATATTTATATAGTATGATAAACTTACTTTTATATTTTTTGTATCTTATATTTTTTGTTTCTATAGTAATGGGTGTTCTATTAAATAAATCTATTCATTCGTATTTATATAGTATTTGTATAGCTATGATACAAATTAGTAAAATATATATTGATTAATTTTTTAAGCATAATGAAAATACAGATATATCGTTATTTTGTGGTTTTAATTTTACATTATCATAAAGACTTTAGCTTTTTTTACAAAAGGTTTTATATTATAATTATCTTTCTGTCAATTGATATAATTACTTGGCATTAACAATGTTTGTTTATAAATATGATATTTTATATAATATATTTAATATTTTTATAAAAATGTATTCTGTATTGCTGAAATATAAATATTTTTTATTGAATTGTAACCTTTTAATTTAATTTTATTATGTATATTGGTGTAATAATATAACGATACTTTATGGAATATTGTACAAAACTAAGCACATCAATTAATAAGTTAGTGTTTTGAATACGATGAAAGAGACAAGCATTATATCGGAATAAATAAAATAATATTTTTTTTTGACAAAAAAAATATATAATTGAGCATTTCTCATTCCATGGAAAAAAATGTATATTTATAAATTATTTTTACTTAAAAGAATTTCAATAACATTAATTTTTAAAATATTTTATAACTTCAATTTATATTTTATTTATTTTTTGAACTACATAATATTATTATTATTATTATTATTATTATTATTCTTCTAAGATCTGAGGGTATTCAATATTTTATTTTTGCAAACAATTATATTGAAGGATAAATAATAACTTCCTAATATATATTTTACATAATGTTAAGTATGCTAATATGCAACTCATTTAGATGATATATCTTTATTTGATATATGTTTATGGTCATATGCTATATATTGTTTAAGACCAAGTTTTGCATCCAATGAAATATAGTTTTATATGTTTTTATAAAGCTATGTTATATGAGAAAAATATGTTACATAGTAAGAATAACGGTTGTTACGGTTTAAAAAAAGGAAAATCTCCAGAAAAGTTCCAAAATTTTAGTCTAATTTATGAAAAAGTCCCAAAATAAATTTTATTTACAGAAAAGCACAGAATACTGGTTAAAACTTCGAAAAAACCCTTTCGGCCGGTTTCGCAGATTTTGCCGGTATTCTGTCATTTTTCGTTAGTTTGCTCAAAATTTTGGGACTTTTCCAAAAATTACATAATAACCAAAATATTGGGACTTTTTTGAAAATTACCATGAAATTAATGGATATTATTATTAACAAATCTTTTATAAATTACATAATAACCAAAATATTGGTGGCCTAAGTACTCCTCTATTGTTTCTTGACCACTCAAACTCTATACGTTCTTCCTATGCATTGTTGTGGGTATGATGGTGAGATGAAGTTAGTTAGCATTCCTCTAATGTTGGTGTTCTTCTTATGTTGTTTAACCTAACTACCAACCAACATTCATACCTTACATGTTAACAATCATCGGCTAACACACATCTATAAAATGTGAAAAGTGAACCCTGAATGATAATTTATATGGAAACAAGTGAAGGGTGATTATCTATTTAAATTGTCATTCAAAGTTTACTTTTCACTCTTGATAGATGTGTGTAATTTTATGGTTGTTACCGGGTAATGTTTGGAGGTTAGGTGGTAGTTAGGTTAAAGAACATAATGAAAGATCTATATGTTCGTGTAATGATATTTTCTAATAACACATGATCATATAGCATCATGCTTAATAGCAAGTAGAAACTTATTGATTGTGTATTAATAAATATTATCAACTCTTGTATTGGTCACGCCTAATAGAGTACTTCTCACTATGACACCCACAACGATACATATGAAGAACATAGAGACTTTGAAGTGGTCAACAAACAATTGAGAAGTACATAGTCGACCATTCTATTTCTAGAAATTAACAACAAATGTATTTCCCTTGTTTATAATAAAAAAATATATTTTTTATGTTTATAAATGATTTGTTAATAATAATATCCATTAATTCCATAGTAATTTTCAAAAAAGTCCCAATATTTTGGTTATCGAGTAATTTTCAGAAAAATCCTAATATTTTGAGCAAACTAATGAAAAAGGACAGAATACCGGCTAAATCTACGAAACCGGCCAAAAAGGGTTTTTTCGAAGTTTTAGCCGGTATTCTGTGCTTTTCTGTAAACAAAAATTAGTTTGGGACTTTTTCATAAATTGGACTAAAATTTTAGGACTTTTCTGGAGATTTCCCTTAAAAAAACATATTACATTGATTTATTGAATCATAAAAGTATCTTGCAATTTTTTGAGGATAACTCTGAACTATAAATCCAACAATA